TATATATATATATATATATATATATACTAACATTAAATGTACTTATTTGATTTTTAATAGTTTTTTAGTGTGGCACCTACCATGCAAATATTAAAAGAAGCAAATATTTATTCTGATTTGAATGATGCTGATGGATCAATCAAATTATGCAAAAGAGTCAATGCATTAATTACTGCCATGAATAATCGCACTCCTAAGAATTCATTACAGACGGGTAATGAAATGTATAAGGTAATCATATAAGTGATAACAATACAAATAATTTTATAATGTAATAATTGTAACATTTAATGTTTATAATAATTAGAAATTTTATTAAATTTAAATATAATTTTTGCTATATATTTTAATACAATTACGTAAACATTTATATTTGAATTTTACAGAATATCGAAGATTTTTTAACATTTTTAGTTAAATGGGAAAAAGAAGCTAAAATAATGGATTATAGTTTTATAACAGAGCAAACTTGTTATGGCTTAAAAATTTCTCTTAAAGTCACTCTTGAAATTTGTTCTTTTTTGATTCATAAATGTGGATTTCAATATTTAATGACAGCTAGATTAAATCAAGACAATTTGGAGGTAAATTTGCCTTTTTCTTTTTTGTAAAATTAATAAAATTTATAATATCTAATTTATAATTATTTTTGTAGAGATTTTTTGGAATGATGAGAAGTTGTTGTGGTTGCAATGATCATCCTGATTCTCAGTTATATATACAAACGTATAGATTGATATCAACGTATTCTCTAGTAAAACCTCCCAAAGGTTGTAACGTGTCTAGTGAAGAAATAATGAATGTTCTTTTAAATATTAAAGATATAGCAGATAATAAAGAAAGAGAAGAACAATGGATTGCTCAGATAGATACTGTCCTGGACAGAGGAAGAAATACTGACGTTTTGGCATATGTTCCATCACTTTTTAATGATCATAATTCGCATAAATGTACTACCTCTGATTATGTTCTAACATACATTGCTGGATATGTGGCAAGAAAAGGAAAGAGATTTTGTAAGGGTATAGATAATAGTAAATATTTTATTTGCCAAGAATGTTTGAAAACATTGGTTTTACAACCAAATAATGAAATACCGGAAAGACATAAATTAATTGAAATAAAATCAAAAGGATATTTAATAAATCCTTTCGTAGCCTTATTTAATCTGCTTTCAACTCTAGAAAAAGGAATAATTGAAACAACACAATGTGGAGAAATTAATGCCAATACATTATTTGAAATAATGGACTTGATTGATGACGAAAAAGATCCTGTAACTCTTCTCGGCTGTGTAAAACAATTACGAATTTACTAAGAACATTATCTGTTTTTATTTAATAACACGAATATTTTTCTTAGTCAAGCAGGCGAACAGAAACGATAATATTGAAAAAGAAAAAATAAAAGAAAAAGAAAGAGTTCAAAATTAGTTAAAGTAAACGATTCAAATGTTCCAAATATGAATTCTCAAATTACAGAAATGAATACAGTTAAAACTGTGATACAAATGAAAAATTGGAAAAATGAAAAAAAGCAGTTAAATAAAAATAGGGAAATAAGAAAAGCAAAAACTAAAATGTGAAATTACACACTAAAATTATAAAAATATAAAACTGTTTATTATTTCAAAAAACATTTATTTCTTATAATAATCATTATAATAATATATTCATTTCTATTTTTATGTAACACATTGTTTTATTTTGAAATGTATATTGTACAAAATAAAATGTAAAATGTTATTTATATAATTTAATTTTATGTCTACGATTAAGCAATCATATAAATATATAAATTGAAATGAAATTGAAATATTACATTTTCCAATTGAACTTTAAGCTCCAAGATAATTACGTAATAACGTATAACATGATTTAATTATTATATAAAATTATAGCATGATATCATATAATAAAACATGATCATTACGAATTTGATCTATGCAAGGATTCTTATAATTGATCAAGAACTTGTAATAATTCAATTAATTCCTCAATACTTTTAATTACAATAAATTTCGAAAGAGAATGAATTTTGTTATCTACATAAATATTAACCTGTCCATTTTTCAAAAAAGCAATTCTTTTTCTTATATTATAATCACTTTCTACTTTTTGGAAACCAAAAAATATTTCATTTCCTCTTGAGTAACTCCATTCTGTAGAAGGAAGTGTAATCAACTCCAAATTATCTTGCAAGTATTTAAAACTGTCCATTGCTTTTAAGTTCCATTGTCATTCTTTGTCAGAAGCTAAAAATAATGATGTATATTATTTTTCTATGTAATATTAATATTTTTACTTATAAGAACTGATTTTTTATTTATTGATTATTTTATATAACTATTTCTATTTTATAATATATAAGTATAGATGTAAATATATATAAGATGCAATATTATATTTCAATATTATTACTTAAATTATTTTGTTCTCTCTGTAGCAATATATATAATTATATATATTCTTTCCAATCATATATTTTTATTAAATATTAATTATATAACTTACCCTAAATATATATTTTCGCTACATTTTTCTTCCCTCTACGTGTTTTTTCTCTTCTCTTATTTCAGAATATTAACTACAATAAAGATAAGCTCTATTAATGCAATATATATTTTTAAATTTATACATATATTCATTTTTATTTGTTTTACTTATATACTTACTGTTTTACTATAGACATTAATATATTATAGTTCAAACGTTTATAATGACTGTAACCACATTTCCTAACCTTCCTAACCTTTTCGTTTCACCATCTGTCATGTCATTCACAATTTCAAGATGGCGACGAAATGTTGCAAATTATTCCATTCAGTGAACCTGGCAGTTCACGGAACATCTTTCGTGCTCACTTTCAATCCATGGAGTTACGTCTCCTTATTCATACTTCATGAATGGACTGTAGTACCCTGTTTTGGTAAAACTTCAATGAACAATAAAACAATTAATGACTAATTTCGATTACTGTAGTAACAATGTGATATATACCAATCGAAACCTTTTCGATTATTAGATATAATGAGTTGATGTAATAATGTAATATGTTTATAAGAATAAAAGTCTGAAACTTAAAAATATACATATATTATAATTATATGAATAGTTCTTATTAATAATAATAAAGTCCTTTTTAAAGATAAGATAAAAAGATAAATATTGTGTGATATATATAATATTATATAATGTTATAGTGGACATTAAATTTGATTTTTTCTACACGTACTTTTTTAAACCTTTCTTGTCTTTAATTCATATAAAAATAAATAAAAATGATATATTCAAGTAGTTACTGAAATAAGTTAAGTTAAATAAGTTAAGTTTCTTTTCAAAATTTCTCCGCATCTTCACTGCTAACGAAAATTTTATAATCCTTATTTGACTCTGCGTCTTATAAGTGTCAGCTCTACGGACGTCGCCATGTTTTTACTGCAACTGCCTTACCTCGCCAGCCGCAGTAA